TGTTGTTAAGTGCCGTCGAGTCAGTTCCGACCCATAGCGACCCTGTACAGGGTTTCCGAGGGTATAAATCTTCACCGGAGTAGAAAGCCTCATCTTTTTCCCGCGGAGCGGCTGGTAGTTTCGAACCGCTGACCCTAAGGTTCGCAGCCCAATTCGTAACCACTATGCCACCAGAGCTCCTTGTTGTTGTTGTTGTTGTTAGGTGTCATTAAATCAGTTCCGACTCATAGTGACCCTGTATACAGCCGAACAAAACACTGCCCAGTCCTGCACCATCCTCAAAGGCTTTGCCAAGTTTCAGCCACTGTGTCAGTAGTTCTCTCATTGAGGGTCTTCCATTTTCACTGACCCCCTACTGTACCCAGCACGCTGTCCTTTCTTTAGGGGCTGGTTCTTCCTGAAAACATATTCAAAGGCCTTGAGACAAAGTCTTTCCAGCCTCCCTTCTCTGGCTGTACTTCTTCCAAGAGAGTTCTCTTCATTATTCTGGTACACCATGGCATATAGTCAGTATTCTCAACACAGTGACTCAAAGGCATCAATTCTTCTTCAGTCTTTCTTATTCATAATCCAGCTTTTACATGCATATGAGGCAATTGAAAATACCATGGCTTGGGTCAGGCATACCTTAGTTCTCAAGGTAAAGTCTTCACTTTTGAACACTTTAAAGAGGTCTTTTGCAGCAGATTTGCCCAGTGGAATATATCTTTTAATTTTTTTAACTGCTGCTTCCATGAACATTGATTCTGGAGCTAAATAAAATTAAATCCCTGACAACTTCAGTCTTTTCTTTGTTAGTTATAAAGTTGCTTGTTGGTACAGTTGTCAGGATTTTTATTTTCTGTATGTTAAGGTGTAATCTGTATTGAAAACTGTAGTCTTGTATCTTCATTAGTAAATGTTTCACATTCTCTTTGCTTTTGGCAAGCAAAGTTGTATCATCTGCATATTGCAGCTGATTATGAGCCTTCCTGAAATCCTGATGCCGTGTTCTTCATCATATAGTCCAGCTTCTCAGATTACTTGCTCAGCACACAGATTGGATACCTATGGTAAATGGATACAACCTGGCCTGCACCTTTCCTGATTTTGAAGCATGCAGTGCCCCCTTGTTCTGTTCTACTGCCTCTATGTCTGTGTACATTTTTGCATGTCCTCATAATAATCATTTCCACTCTTAAACACTACTTTTGATGCCTTTCCACACTTTCAGTTCTTTCTCTTTCTTTCCCATTCACTGGTCCTGCCCCAAGCCCCCAGTGTTACATTCACACACCCCATACTTTTTCAGTTTCCTGTTTAGAGTTACAGGTGCAGAGCCCTCTGGTCAGATCTATTACCTGTGACTTCTAATCTATAGGGAACAGGAAGTATCTTGAGTCAGTGTGTGTACAGGCTATTTTAGGAACCACGTGTTTTACTTCTCAGCCAAGAATTTTATAGAGAGTATTTCAGTGGATATAGTCTAAACTTTTTTTAAAAAATAAAGGCCCCATAATCAATTAGGGACTTAACAAAATCCAGCCCACTCTAAATGGTTACTAGTAGTGGAATTTCGAGAAAAAACTCAGATTGGCATTGGAGAAATCTAGATTCATCACTCTTGAGCTATTTTAAATACTAAGGCTGCTTTTTGAGGTTCTTAGTACATACCTAGGGCAGTGTGTGCCCTATAAGTTCTTAGAACTGTACCGTAGTTGGACACGATTTGTCTTAATACTCAAAGATAATCCATGCTTGTTACCCATGCCCAACTGTCTAACACCTCCATGTACAAGGGAGATGATGGAGTGTCCCAGTACTTTCAGTTCCACACTGGGAAGCTGTGGCTCCATTCCAACCATTAACTGCCTCACTGAGAAATAAACGCCAAGCTCTTCCTAGAAACTATCTTGTCAAGGAAGAAGCAATAGCAGGTGTTTACTGTGGTGGTGGTCTTGTCAAGAGTTTGTTGTTGTCATTGTTAAAGTAACATTGAGTTGGTTCCTACCCATAGCATGTATAGGGCTTCCATGGAGCAGCTGGTGGGTTTGAACTGCTGACCTTTTGGTTAGCAGACCAGTGTTTATCCTACAGTGCCACACTCCAGGAATATTTTATTAGAGAACTCTTTTCTGCTTTGCTATCCTTTCTAGTTGACTCCTTTCGTATTATAATTTCTCACTGTAGCGTGTACTTGTCTGAGGGCTCCCAGAAAGCTGTTTCAGCAACCGTATCTCTTCAGACAAAAGAGTGCATGGGAGCAGAAGAACAGGCCTGGTGAACACAAACTCAAGTCTGAATAGACAGATTTATCTGCCATTTAAGACTCTTGAGGAAATGCCAAACAAGTGTGTGTAATGACTGTTCCATGTGTTCTTTCCTGAATATAATTTCAAAGATTCCCGTTGGTAAAAGTGGGAAGTTGTTTAGTGAGAACCTGAAGTTATTAACCCTCTTGGTAGATAATTAGTGCTGCAAATAGACTATACTCTTAACAGTATCACAGGGACAGCTGTGGCAGAGGATTGCTGACAGTGTCTGGGAAATTTGATTTTTTCATGCCTAGCCAGACAGTCACTGCTGGTTTTCAGTAAGTGTGTGAGAGCTACACAAAGAGTTTTTTAGGGGTGGGTGCAAAAGAAACTGCAGGGTTCACCCATCCTTCAAGAAAGAAAAAGAAGTTCTTGGTCTGCTAAGAGCCATGGGAAAATTATATTTGATTTTGGAGGCTTTAGATTGCGTACAAATGGTTGGACTGAGCAAAAGCAGGAGACTATGAAGAATAAATTGAATGATAAATCTGTAAGCCACAAGTTCTCTGCAACATTTGACAATGGAAGTCCAGAAAATCATTCAGAGAAAATCTGCCACTCAAGATTTAGTTAATAGTTTACTATAGATTACTGCATTAAATGATACATTTTTCTCTTTATAGTGTTTCTTAACAAGCCATCTTCTGTAAATATTGGTTAAATCATAATGTTACTATCATAAAGGTCAGTGTTTTCACAAGAGAGTCCTGTTCAAGTAATAGATTTAGAAACTGATACAGTAAAATCCAGACAGCAAAGGCAATAACATGAGTTTCTCATACTCTCCTCTCCCTACCACTTGATCCCCTCCAGTCTCTGTTTCCCGTGCAGCCAGTGTAATGTTTGGAACCTACAGATCTGATCATCTATTTCATTATTTAAAGTGTCTTGTTAGCGCCTGTGGACTTCAGAATAAAGTCCAGACGAAGGCCATCCATGACTCAATCTCTCTGTACTTCTCCAGTATTCTCTCTCTGCACCCTGTAGTTAATTACTTGGAATTCCCCAAGCATATCATCCTTTTTTATATTTCCTTTCAGTCTGTTTGGCATGTTCCCTACTATGTGCATCTCCCCCAATTTGAAGGCTCGACTCTCCAAGGAATCTTTGCTGTTTCTTTCACTGCTTCCCACCAGTTGCCCCTTTGAGTTCTCAGCACCCTGGACTACCTCTGTCATACTGAGTCGCAGTAGTCTTGTGTACCTGGTATCTCCTGTCCCCTCCCACTCCATCACTATACACACACACTAGAGATTAATTCTAACTGTCTCTGTTTTTGAACCTGGAAAACAGTGACATTAAGACTCAGTCTCTAGTGTGTGTGTATGGGGATGGAGTCCTGGTGTGGCGCTGTGGGTTAACGTGCCAGACTGTAAAGCTGTTTTAACTGCAAGATTCAATTCCGACCCATAGCAACCCTGTGTAGGTTGCCAAGGAGCAGCTGGTGAACTTGAACCACTGACCTTGCTGTTCAAATGACTTTGCAGTCTGATGCATTAGCCCACAGCACCACACCAGGACTCCATTTGAATGAGTGAGCAAGCACATTTAGCATAGTTAAGGGAATTGCACATGACTGCAACCTCACTTATGGGCTGAAACTGGGCATAACTTTTTTTTTTCTTTTTCAGTATAATAGATGTCATCAACCAAGCCATGGCCAATCTATTGCCAGCAGGTCAATTCTGACTTATAGTGACTTTGCGTAGCGTTTCCAAAGCTTGTCAATCTTTACGGGAGCAGAAAGCCTCATCTTTCTCCCACAGAGCGGAGTCATCAGTTCAGTGCTCATCTTTCAGTGCCAAAACAATGTCATAGAGTCCTGAAAGTTTAGTTTGTACTTTTTATAGAAATTACCATTATGTGCCTTTCTGAATATAAGATTTTACCCTTTGTTGCCCCCCTTTTTTTTTTTTAAGAGATACAGAACTAGAATATAGTTGCTTTTCAATGAAGCACAACAGCCTAGACACACACACACAAAATGAGGGGGCTTCACAAAAAGTTCATGGAAAAACTGAATTTAGAGATAATGGAATTTTCCCACACATTTTTTGAAGCCCTTCTTGTATATATGCATAAACACATATCCATACACAAAGGTGGGGAAGTACCTATGACAACAGGGTAGTAGCTATCCAGTAAGAGTCTCTGTCTCCATCCTGACTGCTTGCTGTCATCCTCCTTCACAAGCCTCTCAGGGCAGTGATCACATTTTATCTGCTTCATTGGAAACTCTTTGAAGCAGAGTCTGACCCGTCTTTACATGCATCCAACAAGCCTGTCCCATATGCTTACCATGTGGCTGTATGAAAACTATTAAGTGTTTAATATATGGTCACTGGTCACATAGTGATTATGTCTCAGTAACTCACTTTCTCATCCTCACCTGCCTTCTGCCCAGTGTCTGTACCCACCTCACTACACATTACTTTACAGCTGAGTACTTTTCGTCAACTGTGGGTAATCTAGCACATGGAAAATCTCTACGTGGGCTTCTTTCCATCACATGCCTCTTAAGAGACTCCCGTAAACCTTGATGGCTCACTTCCTCAGGATAGCCACAATCTAGAGGAAACTTTGGGACTAGCTTACAAGGCCAGCCGAAGGTATAGTTCCTTAACACCATTGTAGGCAGCTGATGCCATATCTGTGTTGGAAGGAGAAAATGTTTCCTAATGAAAATATTTTTGTCTTGTCTTTTAGCTTATATTTTACTATGGTACTATAGATCGTTGGTGTCCAAAAGAATACTATGACGACATCAAGAAGGATTTTCCAGAAGGAGATATCCAGCTCTGTGAGAAAAAGATACCCCACGCGTTTATCCTGTCTCATAGCCAGGCAATGGCTGAGATGGCAGCTGATTGGCTGAAGGACGACCTGTCCAAAATATAAATACTGACACAAGGGAACAGGCATCTACAGCCAGAATGTACAGTCAGTGGTTTTACTAAGTAAATACATGTTTAATTTTACTGTTTGATATTAGAAAAGAAAAAGAGAACCTCCCGGTTTAAAAAAACAGCAGCTCCCCATGTAAGCTGAAGTAAACACAATTGATGAATCATTCCATAGGCTTAACAAGACATTTTCTAAGATTCACGGAATACAGTGATCATTTCTAAATCAGGTGTCTTATGTTTATATGAAGGATCTCTGGTGGTGTAGTAGTTACGAATCGGGCTGCGAACCGCAGGGTCAGCAGTTCAAAACTACAGGCTGTTCCACTGGAAAAAGATGAAGCTTTCTGCTCCCATAAAGATTTACAGATTCGGAAACCCTGTACAGGGTCACTATGAGTTGGAACCTACTCCACGGCACATAACAACAGCAACATGTTTATGTGAGATACTCAGTGGTAACTTGTGGTTTATTATGGTAAGCAGAATGTTTGCAAACAAAATGAAATCGAAATTTAGTTGACTTTAATGGAATTCTGGTGTGGAGCTGTAGGATAAGCACTGGACTGCTAACTGCAAGGTTATCAATTCAAACCCACCAGCCTCTTCTTGAAAACCCTCTCTGTACAGGGTCGCTGAGTTATAACTGACTTGATGGCACTTAACAACAACAACTGTAGAACAGGGTCTCCTAGGAGAAATTATGAAGTATCTACTTGAAAATGATTATTAGTGATATATATAGTTAGATGTATGAAGTATATGAGATCATGAGAAAGAGACATATATGTACTGCAGTAGCAGGAAATCTGAGCAGTGGATCCTGGCGGTGGACTGAGGTCTTTTTTAAGAACAAAAGCTGAAGATCAGATGATGGCACAGGCCTGGCTGAAGTCATCGGAATCAGACTGGGTGCCAGAGCAGCCTGTAAAGTCCTCCTGTGACTGACTTCCTTGCAGCGTATCACACACAGATCACCAAATCTACCAGTGGGGGCCCTGATTAGGAGAGGCAGATGTCTCCATTAGAAAGAGAATACATTTCCCCATACAGTCAGCTGGTCTCCTAACTAGTTAAAAGTTGTTCCAAGATCCCAATTCTTCATCCTGCCACAAGACAGGCAGCAGTCTGTGCTGATTCTGTGTCTGCCAGGTCCTGAGCGCCCTGCATCTGCCTCTCCTCCAGAGCCACAGCAGGGAGTGTGGACTGTCTCAAGTCAAGCCTGTGCCTACAACATGCAGATGCCCTTTCTGTGGTCCTTTTGATAAAAAAAAAATCTATCGAAGACCAACAGTTAGTCAAGTACTGTACCAGGCATTGTGGATAGAGTTCTTAGCTACTCTATCTTGTTTTTTTAATTTCAGGAAATCTTGTTTGAAAGGACATCTTTAAATTGCTAAGTAGAAACTTTCAATAAATTCTGCATTTCTGTATTCACTTATTATTACTTGGAAATAAATTGTTTTACCAGTGAATCAAAGCAAGCTATTAAAGTATGTGAACTTTCCTTCTCTGGACACCTTGAAGATTGGTGATGGAGAAGAAGTATGTTCTCTGACTAACAATATTGCTGCTTTCCTTAAATTGACTCTGTTCAGGGACTTTCTGAGCCACCTGCTAACTCTCCAACTGTAGGGACAAATGCATTCTGAAGCAGTCCCTTTGCTCCTAGAGACAATGCTTCATGACATTATTATTCTTTAAGGACAAAGGGATGGTGTCCTTTCTCTCCAGACCTGAAGCTCCTTGATGAAGGATTCTGCTCTGAGATGCTGCCACCCCATGGTGAGCACTGAGGACTGTCCTTTGGTATGGCTTCTCATCTTAGCAAGTGACTTACTTCTCAGGAGGAAAGAGCCAAGTTCCAGCAAGGAGTGCTCTTGGGTCAAGAGCAGCCAGTAGACACAGAGACCACAATGACCTGGATGGCAGATCCGATCTTAGAAGTTGGAACTCAAGTCTCTGAAGTGATCTGCATCCAAGGGATGCTCAGTAATTTTAAAGTGAAGCATGTAAACAAGTCCTGGACATATTGTACCTAGTGGAATAAATAGTAACAACCCCAGCTTTTCTTTTAACCATTATTTTACAATATCCCTCCAGATTTCAAAAGCCCAGATGTATGAAATTGTGTTTTATTTCTGTTGTTTTGGAGCTTAAAGTAAAAGATACTGATTTTAATTTCTTTCTCTTGTTTATCGTCTGAACTCCAAAGGAATGAAATAAATGTCTTGCTGGCACTTATGTCCTTGGTTGGCCTAATCTCTGTGTGTTTGGGAGAAGGCGGGTACAGCTTGGATTGTTCTGAGTTACACTCCATTAATGTGAAAAGGCACTTTTACACTGCTGGTTTCAGAAAAGGAAGAATCAGATTTCAGTAGACTGAAGTTCCGTTTACTTCATTAAAAATTAAAATAATAAAAATGAGAAACAGCAGATGAATTCCATAGCAATTCTGCTTGTCCCAGTCAGCCTTTCTGATTCTGGTGCTGATGGGAAAGCACCATGATGAGAAGCTGGCTCCCTGATGAGTGCCCCTGGTTGCCTGTGGGCTCTGCCAACAGGAGAGAGACTCCACCGTCAGCCCCTGGAGCTCCCGTGACCTAATGTCCAAGGCTCCTGAGACCTGTTTCTTAGGTCTTTCACAGGCTCAATTTTTTTTCCCCCATGCTCCACTATATTAAAACAGAAATCATTCCAGATTGGAGGAAACTAAAGATAAATGAAAACTAAATGCTACATGTGATTCTTTGACTAGATGTTTTTACTGTAAAAGGACACTGTTGGGACAATTATGCAACTTGAATGGGATCTAAAGATTAGATAACAATAAGGTACTAGTGTTAATTCCCTGATTTTATTGGTTGTATTGTGGATAGGAGCCCTGGTAACTCTGGATTAGGTGTTCAGCTGCTAACCACAAGGTCAGTGGTTCAAACTCACCAGCTGTTCCAAGAGAGAATGATAAGGCTGTCTGCTCCCGTAAATATGTACAGCCTCAGAAACCCTATACAGGCACTCTGTAAGTCAGAATTGATTCTATGGTAGTAGGTTTGGGGTGTTTTTTTGAGGTGGGGGGATTGTGGACCAGTACTGAAGACATACTAGAGTTACCTAGGAGTGGTGGAGAAATCATGTTAGCAATTTACCCTCAATTGGTTCAGGGGGTAAAAATTACTTTGTACTTTATTTATATATTTTTTATTTTTGAGATTGTTTCAAATTTTACAAAAATAATAATAAAGAACAAAGCACCCTGCTCTCTCTCTTCCTTGTGTCTATCTCACATCACCTCTTTATAGAAAATGAATTTCTTCTTCAAGGCAGCAAGTGGACACCTGGGTTCAAATCCCAGATCTGTCATGTACTAGTAGGTTTGTCAAATTATGTAAGACTTAAATTCCCTGATTACCAACCCCTTCCTCGTCTATGAAATAGGGAAAGACCAGTGCTTATTTCAGGCGTTTCACTTTGTTTTTTTAGGGGTTACTTCACTTTTGGTGATGCAAGACTTGCTCTGGACATGCCTTCAGTCTTTTAGGCCTGAAGAACTTTTATGAGTAGCCCTGAACACATGAGACCACCTCCCAGTCTTGTAAGCCAGATCCATGTCCCACAGCAGCTGGGCCAATGTATGAGGCATAGGCAGGAATCTCAGTGTCCATCGAAAATGACCAGGAGGACCACTCATAAAAGCATTTCTATCTTCAGTAGTCTTTGTACTCAGGCCTCAGAGATAACATCTGTTCACACAGCATGTTTAGTTCTTGGCTCCAACTTGTTGCTCAAACCACTCTTCCCACAAGTGAAGAAGGACCCAATTATATCCTCTCAATGATATCTTCTTCTTTCCTATTAGAGAAAGCCAGGAACAAAGACAGTGTGTCTCAGCTTATCTAAGACATATGCTACCTAATGGGGATCCAATGACATCTTGCATACCATAGCATTAAGCATCATGCCTGGCTTATGAGAAATGCTCAATAAAATGGTAGCTCGATGCTGCCAGTCTTAGCATTTCTTCTGACTTATATGCAAAGGGGCACTTGCTTACCTGGCTCAAGTTTCTGGCCTCAGGCCATGCAGGCCTCCCTATACATAGCCCACAATACGGGTTACAGAAAAGATACAAGAAGCAAAACATTTCTTAGATAACCAGACACACACCATCTTTGTTCTTGGCCATCTCTTGTAGGAGAGAATAGAGTATACCTGAGTCCTTCTTCACTTGCACGAATGGGGCAGGGCTGGGGGTTGGAGGACAAGTCGGGCAAAAACTAAGTGAACTATAAACAGACAGATCTCTGAGGCGCAGAAGTACTGAGGACATAAAACCTTTTCTGAGTGGTCCAGAACACCTGAGACTTCACCTCCTAGTCACTTTGAAGAGGAGATTCCAGCCTGTGTCCTTACAGGTGAGTGGTTGCACTGGTCCAGCTGCTGTGGATCAAGTATCTGGCCCCTCTTACAAGACGGTTTCAGTCTCCAGAGCAAGTCTTGTGTCACCAAGTGTGACAAGACGTGAGCGTCTGTGTGAGCACCTCAGAGGGTGGGTGAGGAACGAGAAGCTCCAGGTAACTCTTGATCTATTAAGAGAAGCTCTTGGAGAAAGATGGAGAGGAGGTCGCCACCCCCCCACCCCCGCCATCCCCCGGCATTTCTAGTGTCATTGAGGCCTTGTACAGTATTGTGAGGTTATGATTAAGCCCATTTTACAGATTGTCACTGAGGTGCAAAAAGATAAGTGGCTTGCTCAAGATTTCACAGTTATGGAGTGGTGGTGAAGCTGAGATTCAAATTCAGGCCTCTACTCCAGAGCCACCTACTTCATGCCCTTTCTGCTACACTAGGCTGCCTCCTGGAGGCAACATCGCATGCACTCCCATAGCCACATGATGCTGCACCCAGAGGTGCTCACTCCTAGTCGCTCCTCCGAACACGCTCTGCACCCTTCAACCTTTGGGCTCACTGCTCCTGCATTTGGCCTGCCCAGTG